ATACGTGGTTCAAAGAAACAACAAATGTCTAAAAATCTGAAAATTTGCTTTGCACCGCTGCTTTTAGCTGAAAATATTTAAATTATGTCATGAAGGGTATCAAAATGAACAGGATTCTATGCTCTCCTCAATTATAACACGATGAAGGCCTTTTAAGAATCGGAAACTAAGTTTTCAATTGAAGTGGAGGGTTTACGACGCGGTCATATCCGCAAGTAACACCCCAGGTGCTAAGAGACTCAACTTTCGTTTTTCCTGGAAAGGAAGGCGAAAAATTCGAGAAAACCGGAAGATTATTATATATTTTGATTCTATACGAGAGAAGCTTTCCAATGGTCTTACTTTTAGCTTTATTGGAGCACTTTAGCTTAACTTATGGGGAAGCGACGGTTTGCGACGGATTAGTCCGGTTGACCATGAATTAGTAGCAGTATTGTACTTCATAGCTTGGATACTTGGACGTTCGTCATCGAACGGTGATCCTCAGCTGCGAGCACACGCCTCCCTCTATTTCCGACGATCCTGAGCGGTATGTGATCAGTGCTGGCCAGCATTTTCCTGAAGTATCTTAAGTGAGTCACTACATCTCGTTGCATGAGGCAAAGTCCACGCTTAACCTCACGTGGGTGCCAGAATGTAACGCAAGTGGGCCACCGGTCGTTCATGCATCTGAGCACGTGTCCCGCCCATCGTTTCTTTGCGTTCCACGTATACACTTCTGCGTCACGAATGCCGGAAATTGAGCGCGTCTCTGCGCTACGGAGGTTGAGGTTTTCCTGCACTGTGTAGCTGATGTTAAGCAAAGTCCGCTCCAACACTCTTTGTGCGCGCAACAAAATTAGCATTGACTTTTGTTCTCAGCCCACGTCACGGATACGTAACAGAGAGCGGGAATACCGTAGAGAAATAGGTAGTGTGACTCTTTTAAGTGAGGTTGGTGGTGCATCGCCCACTCGTTTTGCCTGAACATTGTCTTGATTCTGTTCATCGTGAGGCCAATGGCTTCGCTAACTCGTTCAACTCCTTCACAATCTGTTGCAGCTTCCTTCAGTTTTGGCTGATGAGGACGATACCGTCTGCATAGCGCAAGTTGGATAACTTCTTATCCATGTTGACGCCTTATCATCCCAGTCCACTTACAGTATCGCGTGGTTGAGTGTGTTGGTGAATGGTTCAGAAGTTACGTATCACTCCGCCTAACTCCTTTCTCAACCGGCACGCGCAGCTCTCGTTGGAACATGCGCTAGTGATGAACGTTTCTGTATTGCATCGTCCCAGAAGGTTGATGTAGCATGGGTCGCCTTTTGCATGGTGCAATGCATTCCAGGCAGAGTTGAGCTCCACACTGTCGAATGCCTTCGCATAGTCGATAAAGAAGGGAAGGGGTGGTTGTTTGTATTGCTTGGCCCGCTCTATCAGCTGCGTGATGGTGTAGATATGAGTTCTACAACAGAAACCCTTGCAAAAACCGGCTCGTTCGACTGGTTAGTAGTCGTACAGTCTCGAGTGTGATTTGACTAATCTCAGTAAAAAGTTGGTACGATTATGAGAAGCGCAATTGGGCGTAGTTTTTCATTCCGTCGCGCTCGCCTTCCTTGAACAGAAGAACCGTATTTAACATTTCCCACTGATCCGAAATCTTCTATGCGTCCAAGTACTTCTCACACCTGTTGGTGAGCTGCTTGATGACAGTGTAAGATGCCGACTAAAAAATTCCGCCGAGATGCGGTCCTGTTCGGGTGCCTTTCTCGACTTCATCTGACGTATATGCATTCTACCTTCTCTTCTTTCTTCTCTAAGCGGAGGCCGGAGGCACGCTTTGAGTTGGCGTAAGGAGCGGTAAAGCGGTATCGTCAAACGGAACCGGTATCGGTTCGCGTAGTGTGTGACGGCAAACTCCTCGATCTTCGTTCTCGATATCTGCGGTCTGCCCATCGCGTCCCTCGTAGCCGAGATGTATAACAATGAAAATGTAAATTCTGTATGCCGTACCACTGTAAGATAGCATGTATCAAGGGCTTGCTCAACTGGACCTGATAGCCTTTGGTGACGCATAGATCAAAACATATTTCCTCATCAGCTTTCGAGAGTTTGATGAAGACAAACATCGCGTAGTTTGGGTTAAAAATTATTCTACCAATTTACTTTCACCGCTAAGCGCTCCCTTCTAATTTTTTTCTCTTTGTTTCCTTCAGCGCGATACAAGAACTTTTGGATCAGGAACCTTCTGACCCTGTTGGGGACTATATTTCTGTTCAACACTCCAGTTTAGCCTATTTCTAACCGTATACTCCAGCGAAAGAGAATTTTGAGAGAAAACTAGTTCAAGCTCCGAAAAAAGTGCAATGTAGGGTGAAAACTGACAAGTGGGCTGCCACTGTAAAAATTGTTTGTGGACGCCTATTCACTGCAGTGTAAGTCAAGCCTGTGAGCTATATACATGTTTGTTCACATCATGTGCAACAACAACAATAGCATTCTAAAGTAACCTCGATGAACACGGACACATGTTCAAGTCTGCTCTCGAACCCTTCGCATACTTCATGCTGGTATCCCTCCATTCCTTCCGCTTTGGCTTTCAAGGACTCCAAATCGGGATGACAAGGTTAGAAGGTTTCTCTTTGAATTAGGGCTACATCGAGAAGTCAAAAGGGTCAAGACCTGGTGAGCAGAATGGCTAGTTCTCGGTACTATTGAAGTCGGACAGTTTGCGCCGGCACCAATCTTGTACGAGCGAGGCTATGCGGGGTTGAGCGCTGGCCATCCGCTGGCACGGTCCTGTTTCAGAGAGGCTATCTGATTAGGGCTTAGCACGTCCATCAGTGTGTTACCCAAGTACACATATTTGTCACTTTCTTAACTCGGAAAACGAAATTAACGACATTCAATTGATACTGTTTACACTTTCTCTGAACCATCACTATGCTGTTCTTATAGCAACTATTTCCAAAGATAGTATTTTTATTCCTGTCAAAACACAATTAATTTCTTAGTTGAGAATCGGATCCATCGCCACAGTCTTCTCGTTATAGCAAACCATGGAGGTCCATGTGTCCACTTAAACGAGTCAGGAACCTCCTGCGTCTTTTGACCCCGTGTTGCCTATTCGGATCGACAATGGTTTTTTCACGTACGGTAGGAATGGCAAGGACGATTTGCCTCATCAACAACTTCGTTACCAATTCTGTTGCGATCCTTTTGATGGAGCATTTAGATTTAGGATCGACTCGCGTGCGATCTGTTTAAGTGATCATTTCACTAGAAACACTTGAGCCGTTGCGGCTGGTCTTTGATTGATCTTCCTCTGTATCGTTTAATGGGCATCTGAACCGTCGCTATTGGAATGTGTTGCCTTTTTGCACGCAATTATTGCAAATGGCATTGAATGAGGCCCCACCATCTCGAAGATAAATATTAGGGGTCTTACCTCGGCAACTATACAGTTTGCCAGAAAACCATCTCATACAACTAATTGATAACAAATGAAGTATTATAGAAATAATAAATTTCTTCTGCCTCATAAGTTTTGGAATCAATGCACCCGGCATTACTTTGGAACACCCCATACAGTATAGAATACAACTGATAAAAATACGCAATAAGATGTGATACAATGTTTTACATCACATCATCTATTTCTTCTTCAATTTTGTCAAACAGTGAATTCTTGAAAAAAATAATGCTTTCAGCTATATGTTTTTCGAGTTCTGACAAAATCTTCTTCGCTTCGAGTTGTAGAGGAAGCAAACAAAGATGAACTAGAACTACTCAGTGTGACACGTTTGTGAGTTTGCTTTTTCACAACATTTTGCATTGCTCAATTAGCTTATCTGATCTAACTACCATTCTACACTGAAAACATTAAGTAATTTAGCTATAACAAAAATGGAGGAAATACGGGGATACGTTTTTTTT